GCGTTTAATGAAAGCGCTTCTAGGTTGAGTTTCAAAATATACCTAAACAGCATGGAGCGATAATTATTCGTGATCAGCTCGCAACTCACAACTTGTCAACAATGTTGCTTACAAAAGGCACTGGTTCTGCACTCATTGAGGCTGGCGCGTGAACTACAATCGGCAGCTGTACTTTTCAAGAAGACACAGGTGCATTTGCGTGGATTGCAACAGTAAACGTTGCAAATGAACGTGTGAAATTGATGAATGCTGTTTTCCAAGCTCAGTTCGTCTGATGGAAATCAAGCCAGTTCCTGATCAAACGACAGAAACGGTCGTGTTTGAAGTTCAACTGTTGCGAATATCAATGTAAAGGCTAGGCTGCAGACTCTCTTTCTTTCGTTCTTTCTTTCTCTTCTTTCTTGGGGCATAAGGGCAAGCCCTCGCGCGGCCGTTGGGATTGCAGGGCTTCAGGGCTCCCGCACAACTCTCCACCCGGCTCTGTTTAGGGTTTAAGATTTAGGGTTTAGGGTTTAAACATCTACTTGACCTGACCCTCAAAGCGGGTACCTCCTCCAACGGGGCGCAGCTGCTCTGGCATGGTATACAGGCTCCTGGCACAGCAAAGCGCTCACGGGGAATGAAGGGCGCCCCGACCTGATGAAGGGCGCGGCACCCTGAGGAACAGAGGAAAGGAGAGAGGCCCCAAAAGATGGGCCATGATTCAAAGTTGGATCTCCCACATCGAGCTGCACCGGTCCTGTCCCAGTCTTTCGACGCCAGGCACTTCTCCTCGGCGAGAATGATGGGAAGGGGCCACTGCTTCTCTAAGTGTTTTGACTCTCACGCCTAGCCGCCCGCGAGGCCCTAGGATTGTAACGTTTCTACAAATTCTTCATGGCGACAGTACCCCTTAACAAGGCCAGCGTTGTGAGGATGAGGGCCTGAGGCATGGTCACGGTGGTCACAGGAAGATGCGTATCCCACCAGAAGGTCCGTTGGCCCCCTTGCTGACCTCTACAGGCCTCGCAAGGCCTTCGAGACTACGCTCGGATGACATCCAAGCCCCCCGACCTCCCTTTTAAGCCTGAAGCCACCGGAGAAGAAGACGAACTCCAAAACTCGTACCGGCTGGTGCCCTTCACTGCCAGCAAGGGGCCAGGTCGTCTTCCTGAAGCACTGGGGGATGCTGACGGTCGAGGCGCTCAAGCTTCAGTTGGGCTGGGGCAGGGCATGGACCTGCTTAACGGCATGGACTTGCAAGGCCTTGACATCACGATTCTTGGCTACCCTAAAAAACCCTAAACCCTAAACCATCCAGTACCCGCATTCAGGCAAACGACGTGACAAGGCCTTGAAAATTGCCCAAGAAAAGCGCGGGTCTGGCTCCCTGGCTCTCTTGCTCGCCGGGCCACGTCGTGCACAAACAGGGGCTTCTCGTAGATCTCGTGGAACGGCATGCGCTTCGTCTCAGTGTACCTTGGCCGATCATCCCACCAAGGCCCTGTAGGCACCGAAAGGCCCACGAACCCACAACTCCCATACTAAGTAAAGCCCACGAAGCCCAGGTGGTGCTCTACATATCCAAGAGCACAGGTGGTATCCTACATGCCCCTAAACAGCGCTTCACCCTAAAAATCCTGAACCCTGTGCCTGCAACCTCTGAAAACCCCTCGGTCCCTACATAGGAACTACACCCAAAGAGCCATATTGCAAGTGAAGTACCACGAAACCCTTTTTTTTTGCATCCACTAAACCCTATACCCTACATCTTTTCTCTCAGACTTATTCAGAGGTCGGCCCGGGCCCTCCTCAACCCACCCCAGGCGAGTTTTTCGAGCCCAGTGTATCAGCCCTGAACTTCCCCCTCGCCTCCGTTTTGAGGGGGGTTCGACTCCCACACTCGCACAAGGCTGGCAAGGCATCGGTTCTTCGGGGTTTAGGGGCTTCGGGTTTAGGGTTTAGGGTTTAGGGTTTAGGGTTTAGGGCTTCTGCATAGATGGACGGACCGGAGTGGATGTCGGCGACGACTGTGACCAGACAGTGTGACACATTTTGAGCACAGCCTGAACGCGTGCACCTCACCGAGTTGATTGCGAGTTGCATCGAATCCGCCGCCAGCGAACCCTAAACCCTGTAGATCAAGAATCCCCAGAACGAAAATTGACCCTTAACCCCAAGCCATAGACAGTCCTACACCGAAACAAGTAGAACGAGTGGCGAGCGCAGCTCCACGCTGAGTATCGGCCGACGCTGATCCTCAGTCGGCCTCCGGCGAGTGGGGCAGGGAGGGAAGGATAGGAGGAAGGCCAGCTTTCACACGGCTTGGGGGTCTGTAAGGACTAAGGGATGTTTCGACTGCAAGCCCGCGTGTTAAAGCAGAAGGCCGGTCACAGGATGCTGGCCAACTGAGGCAAGCGGCTGCGTGATCTGCTGCTTGAGCTGGATCGCGGTGTCGTACATCCTGGAAGACTTGCGGCTTTCGGAATTTGTTCGGGTTCTTAGGCTTAGGAAGTGGAGTGGTGACAGTGGGGTGTAGGGTTCCGTGTTTGGGGAACCCTGAGCCCCCCCCCACAACGGAAACGACTGATGCCCAAAAGGAGTGCCCCAAAACTCGGGCAGGGCGGAGTGGCCCGTCTGCCTAACGGTTCTCCACAAAGGCTGTCCCTTAAACCAGATCATGATGGCTCTAACTTTGCCTTGGGCAGATGCCTGCTATGAATTCCATCCGTGCCCCCAAACCCTAGAGCTTTTTGGGGCGCTTTAGGGATTGGTCGTCGGAAGCCACTGCCTCGTCCACCAGGACTTTCCCCCGCTGTCGTCCTGCCACGGGAGCTGTGATGCGCGCCCTTGAAGTTTGGGGTGGGCATGGTTTCGGGATTCCAGACTTCTCAGTTCTAGGCTTCACGCAATCCGGCTGTGTGCCTGCAACTCCTTTCCTGGGTGACACCCGCCCCACCGAAGCCCCACGGCCAAAAGCGGGATCGAGCCTGCCGGTCAAAGCTGAATGACTTCTGGTATTGCCGACCGATCAGCCCAAGACCTCGGCACACATCCAAAGATCATGAGTTCCGAGCCTTTGTTCGGGATGTGGTAACTGGGCAACAGCGGGGGGAAAAGCTCCATACCTCCAATCCTCCACAGCAGCTGAAGACACTCTCCAAGCGTTCACAAACCACAGGGGAGTGGAAGGAGCAACGAACCTCGAGTTTAGAAGGATGATTGACGACTACTTCACGAGCGCCATTTTCCCGTGTCTGCGTTCCTCTTTGAGCCCTGCCAACGTCCCAGGTGACGCTCGTCATCAATCGGAATGGCCACGGGGACATAGTCTTGGTAGCAAACCCCCTGTTCGCGAGAACGGTCGGCCAACGTGAGGTTCGCGAGAATGGTAGGCCTGCCGGAAGCCGATTTTGTCCTCACATTCCTTGACGAGACTCGGCTCTGGCCATCGTTGATATGCGCTCGAATCTCCTTCAACACACCGTCGACCAAGGCCCTACTGCTGTTCAGTGCAGATGTTGACGTCGGTCTGCGTGGCCACATGTTGCAGACGTCCCTCAATAGCGTCGCGCGAGCTTATGACCAGTGGCTATTGCTTTCGCCAGTTCACGGGTATGCTTGTCACTTGCGTCTTGGAGAGATGGCACGACACTCGAAGAGAATACACAATGCAAGAAACCAGCTTCCTCTCCATGTCCTTGCTGATATACGGCGCACTTCACCTAGTTGAAAGGCCAATTTCTGGCCTCGTGGCAATCATTGGCTTGAACCGTAGCCATTTTCCTTGAGCCCTAAGCCCTTTTGGGCAACGGACTTTGAGGCTACCAACGAACATGGACTCTAAACCCTTTTGCCCTAACCCCTAAACCCCCCCAAAAAACTCCCTCAGCAGAGGAGCTAGGGACGCCAGACTGCGAACGCATCAGGGTGGGCCGGACCGTCCGCCGTCCTGCGGGAGGGGATGCCAAGGCTGCTTCTCCGCTTTGTTGCTTCTTTTTTGTCGGGGGGTCTAGGATTCTTTGGTTTAGGGTTGGTTTAGGGCCAAGTTTAGGGTGGGGAGTGGTGGGGGGGGGCGGGGTGCAAATGCCCTAAATAACCTAATTACACCCTACAGCAGAACGCCACTTGCAGCCATCAAGGGCATGTGCTTCTCGCAGCTCGGGATCGAAAGTCACGGCTCACCCCCTCAGCGAGTTGAAGGGATCTGAACTTCTTTTTCTGCACCACGGCCCTCTAAACCCTAAACATCCCTAAACCCTGAAACCCCTGGCAAGACCACGGCTGCCCGGTCCTCCAACATTTCTGGGTACCTGCGCAAAGCAGAGGCGTCGCCCGTGCTTAGGACTCCGGGCAGCTTCCTCTTTGGGGGTTTAGGGTTTAGGGTTTAGGGTTTAGGGTTTAGGGTTTAGGGTTTAGGTTTTAGGGTTTCGAGTTTAGGGTTTAGGGTTTAGGTTTTTTTTGCCACCCGCTAGCTGGGATTCTGCTGGTAGGGAGTAGGGATGAGGGTTTAGGGTTTTGGGTGCTGAGCTCAATCCTGCATATTGGGGATGAGTCGACAACTACGATTTAGAGGAGCATCATCAGAAAAAATGTCCCAGTCATCAGCTTCTTGTTACACAAACCTCTCCACCCTATCCCACAAACCATGGTTACGGGACATCCCTGTATTTGGGCCCATATGCCCTCAAGGTCCAGCCCCACAGCGCAAGATGCAAGACCAGCATGAGGAGAAGTTCTTGAGCATGAGCCAGTAAAAGGCACAAGAAGATGCGTCGAGCTTGCTTCCCAGATTTTTGTCATGGTTCGCCGTCCAGAGCAGACACTACCCAAGCACTCCACAAGAGTGGTCAGATTGAGCACGCAGGCTCCTACGTCTGAGGGTGGCGCGAAGAGAGGAGAGGCAAAGCAAATAACGGAGCCGGCACTTATGGCAGCACCCGAGTCTAACATGGGCAAATACAGATCACAGCCTAGGCGCGGAGCAGAGCAACGTCGAAGCCTTTCACCGCATGCGGGCGTCATGAGACAGGAGGCGGTGCTTGATCGGCCTCACCCGACAGCATATTGCCAGTGTTGACGACTGCTTTCTCAACAGCGTGAGCTATGGCAGAACTTTCCTCCTCCACTTCTTGGAACACCTCCTTGCCGGCAGCGGCAGCTTTCTGCACCTGCTCGAGCATTTGACCCCCTGTCTGCGCCAGCTCCTTTTCAGCTTCTGTCAGTCCTGCTTCTGCTTGTGCCACAGCACTCCTTGCTTTCTGCAGCATTGTGCCATCTGCTGGAGGCGAAGTCCCTGATTCTGAAGCGGCATCTGTCAGCTGCACGTCCTCTGACTCCACACGCACATCCGCAGCCGGCTCTGGGAGATTGTTGGCAACCTTGACCTCACTGGTCCCGGGCTTGGCAGGCTCACTGCTGACTTCATTGGCAACCATTATGGTGGCAGATCCCTCCACAGTCACGGGCGCTTCGGTTGACGAAGGGGTCACAGGGGCCGGTGCCTCTGTCTGCACATGAACAACGGTCTCACCTGCAGGCGTTTCGGCCTTGGAAGCAGCATCTGTCAGCTGCACATCCTCTGACTCCACACGGACATCTGCACCCGTCTCTGGAACATTGTTGGCAACCTTGACCTCACCGGTCTCAGGCTTGGCAGGCTCACTGCTCACTTCATTGGAAACCATTACTGCGGCAGATCCTCCCTCCACAAGCACGGGCGTGGCGGTTGACGAAGGGATCTCAGCGGCCGGGGCCTCTGTCTGCACATGCACAACGGTCTCACCTGCGGGCAATTCGGCCTTGATCTCGGCCCTGGTCTCGACTGCCTCCTGCCCGGCTGTAACTGCCGCCGGTGGCTCTGCCTCTGGCGCCCTCACAGCACCTTCGGAATGCACCTGCCCTGTGTCTAGGGAAGCCACAGGCAACGGCGACGAGGTCTCGCCTGCAACCTGTGGCGGTGACGGTGAAGCCACCTCTGTTGCCTCTGGCTTTGCCGGGCTTTCCGCATGTTCTGAAATCACCTCGCCCGTCGCTTTAGCGGGGTTTTCGGACTCTGCTGCTAGCTTGCTCACGGGCTCAGTGCTCACATGTCCAGCCAAGGCAGATTCCACGTGGCTGCTCGGTTCCTCCGCCTCCAGAAGCGCAGGCTGTCCGGTAGGGATGGGCGCCAGCTGTGCACCCGCAGGCGGACGGGTTGGCAACTCCTCCACCTTGCTGAAGCCCTCTACAGCATCGGGGGTCTGCTCATCCTGGCTTGGTGGTTTTGCCGGGCTTTCCTGCGACACGACAGCTTTGGCGGGCTCCTGGAAAGATTCACTGGCATCACCAACCTTTGCATCGGCCTTGGCAATCCCGATTTCTATAGAGCTGCTGACAGGCTCCTTTGCAATCTGCACGGTGTCCTCATCCAGCTCTGTGCTGCTGGAATGTCTGGAGGGCTCCTCTTGCGGCTCTGCGTTCTTTGTGCTGCTGGAGGGCGCGGCGTGCTCTTCGGAGCTCTCCGGCTCGTCGTTTGCGACCTGCACGGTGTCCTCATCTAGCTTTGTGCCACCAGAGCGCGCGGATTGCTGCTGCGGCCTCTCTGGCGCAGTGTCCTCAATCTGCACAGTGTCCTCATCCAGCTCTGCATGCGAAGTGCTGCTGGAGGGCGCAGCGTGCTCCTCGGAGCTCTCCGGCTCGTCATTGGCGACATGCACAACGTCGTCATCCAGCTTGGCGCCACCCAAGTGCGCAGATCGGTCCTGCGGCCTCTCTGGCACAGTGTCCTCAACATGCACGGTGTCCTCATCTACTGCATCTGCCTGTGCAGGGGAGGAGGCCACGGAGTGCTCTTGGGAGATCTTGCTTGCATCATTATCATTATCAACCTTCACAGCGTCTTCGGCGGCCTCGGCGGCCTGCGCCCTTGTTTCACCCGGAATGTGCACGTCGTCCTGCGAGCTCTGCTTCTGAAACAAGAGCTGTGTGCCCTTCAAGCGATGCTTGGTCGCAGACGCTGCGCCTCCCAGACCTGGCCCTCGAAACAGCAAGCCGATCAGAGACAGCGCAGTCAAAGCAATGACAAGGCGCACAACGAACTTGTTCATCCTCCACTTCCTCCAACCATGGTCCCGTGGCGAGACGGGCGGGGAGTTCAGACCCGAGCTATGCGGCTCTTCGTCCAGGCTATGTCGACCCCCACGTCGTTCCGCGGTGGAAGGGCGCATAACCACTCCCGGCCGGGCCGAAGGGGGAGCTCAGACCATACCCATTCTAAGTCATCATTCATTCGATCAACGAGGCTGCACGACGATGCGCACCCACAACTCTGCACAGTCTTGCCCGAAGCACCGTATAAATCAACGTACCGCAACGCCCAAGAGTTGAAATCCCTTCTTTACCCAAGACTGCTGAGGTTGAAGCCCCAAGCCCGAAACCCTAAGCAATCTGAGAGCCCTAAACCTTGGGATGTTCCCCCTTGTACTAACAGTCCTTGATAGGGATTATAATGTGGGGTACTCTAATCCCTACAGGCCCTTAAGCCCTATGAAGGACTGTTGATCTAAAGGGGGAACATCCCAACCCCCAAACCCTAAACCGCCCTAAACCCGAAGAATCCTCAACCGCCGGCGAAAGCCCTGAAGCCAGAAGGCCGCCGAGCCGCTCCGTGCGCGTTGAGGCGGGTCTCGTGCCGCTGGCAGCCGCCCTGGCACACTGGGCGACTGGCTCTGAAAGATGCTCCGGGGCCCTACTCTTTGCTTAAGAACCACCTTCTAGTAGTGGCTCTTAAGCTTTCGGGCTTTGGCGGTTTCAGGTCTACACTCTACACTGTCTCATTTCGTGCTTCTGCAACCCGGCAGCAAGAGAGCCCCGCGACAACCCAGCTCCCAAGCCCGTCGTGCATTCGGGGAAATTGCTACATAGCTGCTACATGTTCTGAGTGGAGGTTTTCAGGGGTGTCTTGTTACCTCACCTGTTGTTTATATCTCTTGGCCTGAATGCTGGAAACCCGCTGGGAACACATGGCCTCCTAGAAATAATTTCGCATCGCGGCTGCAGGAGGGGGGGATGGTGGTTCGTGTTCATGAATCTATGGACTCAGTTCTCCTGGGATTTGCCTACGGGAGCTGAGATGCATCCTGACTGTCCGCGCTTGCTTCGCATGCAAGCAGGTGGCAGCTGCTGCTTAAGGATTCTAGAGCCTTCCCTTAAGCCCCTCAAGCCAGATGTGGTACAACGTGCTGGTATCGGCTTCGCCCACCTGGATGACCCTCGAGAAGAGCCGACATAACAAAGGAGCCCAAGTAATCACCCCCCCCCCCCTTCCTGCACCATTGTTGGGGCACTATGAAAGATGATCATGTTTGTTCCTTATTGAGTTCCTTATTGAGTTTAAGCATTCACAAACCTGTACAAAATGATTTTCAACAAGGACCCCAGCTTCCCCCCTAGCTTCCCCCCCACCCCCGGCCGACAAAAAAAGGCACGGACCTGCAGCCAGAGGCGCCGACGTCGGGGGGCTGGGTCCAGGCAGCTCAGGAGCGGCACCTGGGTCCGAGTTGCGAGCTTCAAGAAGAAACCCCCCGGCTATATTGCTTGGAGGTACAGGGGTTCTTGTAAGTAGTGTGTTTTAAGTAGCTCTAAGTAAGGAACTCGAATTCCCCCCTAACTTGCAACCCTTGGCCATGAACCTCCAAGTGGGGGTTTAGCCCTTTTCGGGTTGCTGCCCAAGGAGACCAGGTTCAGGTTTCAGGGACCCAAAAGTCATCCCCCTCCTCAGAACCCCTCCAAAATTCCAAGCTTCAACCCCTAAGATTCGGAGGGCACGTGGTTAGGGTTGAGGGCTCTGGCCTTTAGGGGGTTCTCAAGGGAAGACAGAGGGGCCTCCTGAGCCCCAACCTTAGATTGCCGCATCTAGAATCTACTTGGAGGTTCATGGGTACTTATCAGCCGTGCCATGAGAAGGGCCAACACAGAAATACTCGTGAAGGGTATACAATGACAAAACACAGTGTGGTCAACAGTGCTTGATGCCAACAGCGGAAGGTCGAATGAGACGATGACGAAAAGAAGAGCCTACGAGTACGAGATGGAGTTTTCACAAGTTTACAACTAGCTACAGCAACATCAACACGATAACGATAGGGATACAGAACCCTGCAGTTTTCGGCTTGCACGATAAGGGCTTCGGGCGTTCGGGTTCGGCGTCTGGACTGAAAGATGCGCGCCTGGTAGCTTGCGTGAACTGCGTCTAAACCCGTTAAAAATCCTTTGCGCCCTGCTCATGTTTAGGGTTTAGGTTTTAGGGTTTAAGGTTTAAGGAGTGGCCTGCTTCTTTTTCCCTCTGTCCTTCCCCATGCGCGCGGCAGGTCGTGAGCTAGCCGCCCCTCTCAAGGACCCCTCGTCTTTGGCAACCTCCATCTACAAGCTTAGAGGCCCAGATCCCCGGGCGAAGAAGGGCTATAGGGTTTTGGGTTTATTAGGGTTCCGGGTTCAGGGGTTTAGGGTTTAGGCCCTGGGACGTGACCTCGTCTTTGGCTTCTAGGCTGGCTGTTCTGTTGTCCAGTACCCCGAAAAAACGCCTACAGAGCGCTAAGGGAGCCGGAGCCCTAGTGGAAGCTGTCCGCCGCCTCTCAAGGTTCAGGTGAACACCACGCTTTCAAGTCACGTAACCCTAAAACCCAAGTCCGATGAACTGCAAACACCTTGTAGCTGTAGCTGCACCAGAGCACGTCCACCATGCTGGGGGGTGGCCCACCTCCCCTAGCCCACCCACCTCCCTACCCACACTCGACACTCAACCCTGATCCCCAGAACCCTAAACCTAACCCCTAAACACTAAAACCCTAAACCCTGACACCCGGCTGCCCCCCCCCCCCCCCCCAACCCCCATAAACCCCATAAACCCCATAAACCCAGCAAACCCTAGCTACGGAAGGGACTCGGAGCGGCAAGGATCCAGAGGGTCTTAGGCTTGCCACGGCGTTCATTCCCCCCACGGAGCCTTACGGTGCAACTTCCCCGCGCATGGCCGACACGCCCATCTTTGCGGTATTCCTTGGGGGGGGACGACCGGGAAGAGGGGAGGAGGGCTTGGTTCAATTGTGGGCTTGGGGAATTACCTGGGATGTTCATGCGTACGTTCTATGTGAAGCGATCAGTACCCTACTTACACCTCGAATATGACCAGTTACAGCGCTGCAACTACCTTGACAACAACCCTACACGAATAGCTTCAGGATGATTCGAGCTGGGATTCCCGTTAGTATACCTGTTGGGATATGTGGGATAAGGATGTTCCAACCTTTTTGGAGCTTACTGTACCCACAAGGTACACATGAAGCTCCAAACCAAGATTTGCAGGATCCCACTGCAGGAGGTGTTGTTCACAAGGCTCGGGGTTGGGTCTGAGGGTCTGAGGGTCTTGATGGTGAAGCCTCGAGCTTGGGATGTGTGGGCTCAAGGTTCAATGCTAGATGTGACCATATAGAATGCGAACAAGGACCTAAAGAAGATACTGATTCGCCTCGGCTTCCTGCCGAGAAGCGTCTGGAACAAGCAGACCCGGATCGGGCCTCCTTCCCCCTAACCCAACCCTTCCCTTCCCCAGGCAAAATTTTCTGACGCCACCCCCCCCCCCCCCCCAATCGCTTGGAGGAGCTGCAAACCGATGCTGTGGAGGGTCCCGCTTGTCGGTGGCTCCTACAGGGGGAGTGCCTCAAACCCCCCCCCCCTTTTTTTGCGAAACCGTCTTTCCTCCTTTCCTGTCCTGGGGCCGGCCCGGCTGCCGAGGCGGCGCGCGCAAGCGTTTACAATTATTAAACATCAGAATGCTGTCAATAATCATGCTGGCAGAGATAAAGAAACCACAAGAATAATCGTAATGACATTAATCACAATAATACTATTCATAATCAAAGTAATAATAATCATGATGATAAAAATCGCAATAAATAACAACAAGCGCGGCCCAAGGTTCATTGGTCCAGGCCGGATCTTCTTCCACAGGTCCTTCTTTTCTTGTGGAGGTGTCAAGGGATGGTGCACTGGAGGGTCTTAAGAGCCCCCAAAACCTACTTTTTTGTAACTTGTTTGTATGCCATTACCATACCCCCCCCCCCCCCCCTCCCCCCACAAGTAGGATTTGGTTGGGTTGCTAAGGTGGGTGTTTTTTGGTATGCTCGGCTCTTCGGGCTCAAGGTCATTTACGTGTTGCGAAGGGCTTCCAGCCCCCTTTCGTGCTCGTCAGTGCAGCTATTTCAAGGCAACTTCACCATAGAAACCGGCATGATAGAAACTTGAGGTTCCGTTTGAGTGAGATTCTTGGGGTTCAGGGCTGCATGAAGCGAACCCCCCACCCCCTCCCCCCCTAAATACGAGTACGGTCCTACCGTCGCTATCTCTAACAGGGGCAAAAAGCATCACTGCGGCTCGTGAAGGCATGAGGCCGCACAGGTAAGCCTAAACCCTAAACACTGGACCCTCGGGCCTCAAACCCTACAGCAAACCCCAGAATCCCCAGCGTCGGCCGCAGAAGCTTCAAGCGGACTGTGTCCCCTGGCCGATACCCCTAAACCCTAAACCCTAAACCCTAAACCCCCAGAATCCCCAGCGTCAGCCCCAGAAGTCCTCTGGTCGATAACCCTCTGGGATGACCCGCTCGAAGTAGGCCGGGCCCTCGGCCAAGACCTGGCGGCCGGAAGGAAAGCGCGGGGGCCCGGGCGCTGAGACCCTTTGTGCAAGGCTTCGACTCTCACACCTTCAAGGGACTAACGGAGGGATCCCTAAGGGTCCCCTCAAGGGGTTGCTCCTTATACCTAGTGCTTCGTCGCTCACTCGTCGCTCACTCTCGCACGTGGCAGGATCCGTCAAGCAAACAAGCCACGTTTGGGCGTCAGGCTCTATGGGCAGGAGAGTTTAGGGCCCCTAGCACCGAAACCAAACCTGGAACCTTGAAGGACGCGAACCTAAGTTGAGACCATGTGCTCAGTGATGCGCAACTTTCAAGAACAGTCGACAAAGCAACTGTCCGAAGGTCACAAAAGTCAGCTGACACTACTGCAGGTTTAGGTTTTGGTGTCCCTCCCCCTCCAGCATGTCGGTGTCTGAAGCTCTCTTTCCACAAGTCCTGTTATGAGGCTGAAACCAGAAAGGCCTTACATATCAGCCCGAAAGCTGCGAAGCCTTCATAGGTCCCACAAGCTCACATCGGCCTTTGGGCGGTACT